ACTTCTTCTTATCTTTTTGAGAATAGCCATCTTAACATATGTGAGGTGATATCTCATTGTGGTTTTGATTTCCATTTCCCTGATGATTAGTTGAATATCCCTTCACATACCTGTTGGCCATTTGTATGCTTTTTGGGGAAAAAAATGTATATTCAGGTCTGCTCATTTTTAATTGGATTATTGTTATTGTTATTATTGTTTGCTATTGAGTTGTATGAGTTCCTTATATACTTTGGATATTAACCCCATATCAGACATATGGTTTGCAAATATTTTCTTGTGAAGGGATTTTCCTGTGATTCTGGTGAGAGCTCAAAAAAGAAAAGGGAGCTGGAGAGAAAGCTTCCTTTGTCTTAGAGAACACATAAATAGTCATGGACAGAACATTGGTAGAAATACGGATGGTGAAGGCCATTCGGATGAGGTCTGAGATGAAAATGAGAAACACGTTATTGGAAACTGGAGGAAAAGCGATCCTTGTTATAAAGTGGCAAAGAACTTGGCCACATTGTATTCATGTTCTAGTGTTTTGTGGAAGGTAGAACAATCGAGGTATAGTTAAGTCACTTGCTCTCAGATATGGAGCCAGTAATGGTAAAGCCAGGATTGAACTGGAGCTAGAGTCTTAACCACTACATCTGTCGCTCCCACCAAGGACAGACAGTGTGGGGACGGGCAGTTCTGGGAGAGGGGTTAGGTTCAAGAATGCTGAGGCCAGAAGAAATTCTTCTATCACTGCAATCATGAAGAAGTGTTACCTTAATCAGGCTTTTCTATGACTGACTCACATTAAATGATAATCTTGTTTTAGAGCTTTTCCATTTTAGGAAGATGGAAGAGCTGTAATAGCTTTCATTCCAGGGGCCTAAAAGAAATCAAATGAGACCATGTACGTGGAGGTGCTTTGTAATCTGCTAATGGGATGGGGATACTATACTTCTTGCCCAGCTTACAGCACAGTATCTGACATGGAGACACTTAAAACACTCATTATCTATTTGTGAATGAATCGGCCTATGACACAGGAAGAAATGAAGTATGCCCACATGCTCACACACACACACACATTGTATGTACACGCATACTTCCCCCACTAGATTGGGAACTCTGTGGGTGCAGTGTCTGTGCCCTCTGTGAATCCCTAGCATCTTACAGAATGCCCTGAAAGGAGTCAGTGCTCAGTAAGTGCTTGTGATTAATAATATTATAGTGCTTGTCTTTTCAGATGGGGTTTTTATGAGATAGATTCTCTTTGGGGGCAGATGGAGGGATTGATAGGAATCACCGACTTTATTACTTCAGAGCCCCATTTAGATATTCTACACAGTGGGAGGCAGGGGTCCGAGGGTTAAGTGTTGAAGGACTGCAGCTGGGAAGGCAGCACTCCCAGGGACTCAGCAGCCTGCTCCTCTAATCCCTCTGCACTGCAGGAATGTGGGGTGTGTCTCACAGTGGAGGAAACAGGACCCATCATAGAAGCAGGGTTGCTTTGTCTCCTGGGGGGCTCTCTTCCCTGGCGCATTGAGCCAGATAGTGGGTTGTTCTCCACCCAGTGGCCTGAGGGTGGGTAAGTAGTCTTGTCCATCAGATAAAGAAGCCAACGAGTTAGGCCTGTTTTGGCATTTAGCTGTGGAACTTGGTGTGAACATCATGGCCTTTGAATGATAGGGTCACAGTGGCCTGGTAATTGCTGTGATCAGTGCAGTTGTTGATCCTATGGACCGCAGCAGGGGAGGATCATGGGACTGGGTAGCAGGACCAGAAGTCCAGCTTTGACCAGAGATGCAGAGAGTGACTTACAAAGGGAGTGGAGTGCTGCAGGTGCAACACAATCACCAACACAATCACCAAGTTCAGGTGAGGTGACCTCATCTGGCCCAGGGCTCTGCTGAGTGCAAGAAAGAAAAGAAAAGGGTGTGTGTGTTGGGGGAACAGTGGCAGTAAATGGAGAGGACAAAGGCAGAAACATCAGAAAAGCTCTACTAATCTAAATTTGTGGCCGGGTCAGTAAAGCTCTTGTAATTGAGCAAGTGCAAAGGGAGGCTACCAACCCATACCAAGCACACAGAAAGAGAAGCAGAACAGAGAGCATCAGACAGACCACGGTTGTGGCTGAGACCCAGGATTGCTACCATCTCCCTGTGGAGGAGGCCTCATGGTCAGAACGAGGGTGACATTTATATGTATACAATAGAAATGACTATTTCTGACTGCTAATGTAGTCCCATCAGGCTCCTATAACAGAATACCATTGACTGGGTGGCTGAAACAACAGAAATTTATTTCTCACAGTTCTGGAGGCTGGGAAGTCCAATATCAAAGTGCCAGCAGATTCAGTGTCTTGAGAGCCGCTTCCTGGTTCATACATGGCTGTTTTCTAGCTATATCCTCATGGTGAAAGGGTCAAGGGAGCCCTCTTTGGGTCTCTTTTATAAGGGCACTAATCTCATTCATGAGGGCTCCTCCCTCTGACCCTATCACCTCCTGAAGCCCCCGCCTCCTAATACCATCACACTGGGGGGTTAGGATTTTAACATACGAATTTTAGGGGGAAACAAACATTCAGTCCATAACAACTGTTTTATTAATTCTGTATATAACTTACGCTAGTACAATTTCTTGTTATCAAACAGTTTGTTAATCTAAAGTTTCTGTTAAAAAAATTAGGCACTGCTGAACAAGAAATTACTGATCCCGGATGGACCCAGCTAGTTATTTTTCAGCTTTTCTGCCAAGGCCAGGTATATGATATCATGGGAAGAGTTGCTTTACAAATAGCATCCCAACCAGGGACTTTCAGTCTTTCCTAAACAGGGAAAGGTGAGAAAGCTGATGTGTTCAAAGGTTTCAACTCCATCAGACCTTTCGGTAAGACTGTAGGTACTTCATGGACACATACTGATTTAGTATGAGCCTGGGGGAGCAGAATTAGGATGAGGTGGTGCCAAAGCTGGCTAAACATTATTCTTAGGACCTAAATAGTGAAAAAGTTACAAATTCTGAATGAAATAAGGGGATTATTTTCAGCCAGTAGGGAAGTTAAAGTTTATGTCACCCTAACTTTTTGACCCTATTTCATTTAATCAGGGTTTTAGCACTCACAGCTATTCCAAAACTATTGATTTTTTTTTAAAACTTGAGCCTGAAAAACAGACAAAAGACTATATATGATATCTGTCTAATGATTTATCTTAAGAATCTGTGAACTGTGGAATCATGATTGTTAGGACCGAGAGACACCTGCTCACCTTTCTGAAATGAGTTGCTGAAAAGATATTCTGAGATTCAGAAAGGGTAAGGGATACAGTGTTGACCTTTTGGAGACAGGAAACCTTTGATGAACTATAGGACACCAAGACAGTTCATTTAAAAGATGGTTTCAAAGCATTATCTGGGGCTGGTTTCGTATATGCATTACTGAAGCCCTTGGGTTGTCTTTTTACATAAACCCCGTGAAATAATGGCTTCTCATGTGGCATCTTGGCTTCTGGGCTTTGTAACTGCTTTCAGTGTCTTTTGTGGACAAAATTAAACTTTCCTTACCGTTTGACAGCATATAACTTTCCCAAGATGGGCGTTAAGGAGAAAAGAGACAGGAAAAGGTCACCGATACCATCTCCATGTAATTAAGGCAGCTAAATAAAATTGTCACTAATGACATTTACTTGACTGTATCATATGAGTCCCTGCTCTGGCCTCCAAATAAGTTAAGGATCAACTGCTCGTAATATGTACAGATTGTAAATCTTTGTTGCAGGTAATAGGGTATACATTTTTTTTAAGGCCGCCTTATTTTAGGGCTGTGTTTAGGCTTGTGAATTCTCCCTCTTTGCCTCTTTCTCTCGACCTGTCTCTGTTCATCTCTCTCTATTTATATACATATGTATGTACCTACACTCACATTTGTGTATATGGATGAACATACGTGCCTACCTGTATACATACATGTAAATGTATGTGCATATGCATTTGTAAGGTAATAAGCAGTGGAGGGTAAGTTAAAACTTAGAAAAAAATAGCTTCAAATTTTGATTTATAGACTCAGATTGACCACCTACCAAGGTATAAGATGTACTCAAGGAACTAATTTGTTTTCTTTTAACTCTTAAAATAAAAGACCCTAAAAATCAAAAGTAATCTATGAATTTTGGGGGGCAGGGTGGGGAGTTCTAGATGTGGAATTCATGAAATTGTGTGGAGATATATATATGGAAGTTAAGACTTCTAAGCTGCTGAGCTTAAACTTAGAAGTTTATGCCAGTAAGAATGAGTCCCAGACAAAATTGTTTTCCCCTATAGAACACATCATTATTTGGGTACACAATAAATAATTCCATAGGGATACTAAGAATAACACAAGATCTTGGCCTTCCAGTCTTATGTGACATGTAATGTAAGTAACTCAAGGTTTTAGGGCAGGGTAGTGGAAGGTAACACAGAGCGGCCAGTTTGCACTGGGGCAAGTTTGCTGGGAGAAGAGATGATTGTGGATCACGGGTCGCATCCACTAGCTAACGGTCAGAGAGAGGCCTTGGCAGTAGAGGGACCGTGTGTTGTGTTCTGAAGACATGAAAGAATATGTTGAGGAAGTGCATGTAAGTTTGCTGCTGGAATTTAGAGTGAAACAGGAGGCTGAAGAGTCCTCTGCAGGAACTCCAAATTTCCCATCAGGCTTCCTCTGAGAAGACTTTCCTGACAGCTGGAGTTGGTAGTCTCCTTCTCTGTGTCCCCAGGAGTTTTGCTATTTCTATTGTTGGATTTTTCACACCCAATTTAATTGTTCATGTCTGATTTCCATACTTGTCTGCAAAATAAACAATGTCAGGACTGTCTCCCCGTTCTTATCATAAAACCCGAGAAACAGTAAGTGCTCAACACCTGTTTATTGATCTGGAGGAGTGAATGATTATGCATAGTTTGGGGATGAAAGAGTCAAGAATCGCCTTGGCTATCAGGCAGCACTTCATAAAAACTTAAATGGTTTCATTTTTCTCTTCCAGATTGCTTGCAGCATATAATAGTCTTACCGATAAACACCTGACTGGATATTTTAATAACACAAGGATAAGGCGGCATCTCTTAAGATCAGGGCTGGTAAGATTTGGTTTACTTCCTACCTGCCCTCTTGTTTCGTTAAATCCTGTAGTTCTCATTCCCTTTTCTGGTTTTCTCTTTGAGCTAATCAGGGACATCACCCCCCCTCCCCCTCATTTTAGAAAAATTACTTCTTTTCCAGAGCTCTGATTTATCTTTTTGAAGCTGTGTTTCAAAAGATAGGAAGAGAGGTCACAATGACCGCTAAGGCTACTTCTAAATTATTGAGAAAAAACCCTAGGAGCTTCCAATAGCATATTTTACTTGTTTGTTTATTCATTCATTTATTCAACACATATTTATTGAACACATTGTATGAACCAGGAACTGTTAGGGATTAAGCATAGAGAAGACTTTACTGTTTTCAGGAAAAAATATTATTTTTAATAATCACAGAATATGGTGTGCAAGACATGAAGAGTTCAAAATTTCCCCTTGAATTTTAAAAACCTGTTTCATTTCCCAGATTGTTTATTGGTAATATTAGTGTCTTTCCTTAGCTCTAAAACTATCATTTCCACAGGATTTCCATTTCTCTAAATGTATTTAATGTGAAAACCTTTAAAAAATACTATAGTTGTCCATTGAAAGAAATGGGCGTGGTTACAGAAAGTGTGAGTAACGATTTTAGCTGTTTACCTTCTTAAAACACAGTGGATTTCCTTAACTATTGTTGCCATGGTGTTAAAAGGATTATGCATTGCGTTTCTAATTGTTGTTTATGTGCTTGGCACTCTGGTTGGGTAGATCTCAAGAGAGCTTGCTTTTTGTCTCCTGGGGCTTTGTTATCAGACAGACCTAGCTGAAACCTGGCTCTACCATTTACAAGTCATAGACTCTTGAGCAATTCATGTACTTTCACTTTCTCAGCTCCAGCTTCCTTGGTTGTAAAATGAAGACAATGATACCCAGCCCTCAGGATTGTTGTGGCAATAAGAGATGTGTAATAAATGCTTGTTGCAATTATTGTGGTGACTATTAACATTACTTCTTTGGATAACAGTCTTGCGAGCTTTATGTATAAATGGAAGGACTTTGTATTTACTCATCAACATCATTAACAAGCATTTATTGAACATTGGTTATGTGCATGACAACTCAAATAAGGAAGATTTCTCTAGAACGGTGGTTCAAATACAGTTCCTGACTCAGCAGCGTTCAGCATCATTTGGGAACTTGTTAGAAAATGCAAATTTTAGAGCCTCACCCCAGACCTATTGAGTCAGAAGCTGTGGGGCGTGGCCCACCAATCTGTTTTTTCAACTTGTTTTCTGATTCTGATGCAGGCTCAAGTTTAAGAACTCGGCCCTGCAGGAGCTTCCAGTCTAGTTGGGGAGAGCAGATCTCCCAGAGGCAAGAGGACAATGACACCTGTTAACTGGGGAGGGGGCCACAGTTCAGGATGTTCTTAACATTTTTTCTCCGTTGGAAACAAATGGCATGATATCCCATGGACAACACATTTCAAACACTGTAACTGAGTTATTTGTGATTGGAAACACTTTCTAGAATCAAACCCCTTTCTTCCATTGGGGGAAAAAAAAGATATATATAAAAAGATCATCAGTATCCAGTCACTTATAACACAACTCTCCTTGGTCTCTGAGCTCCAACACATTGCCACAACAGTGTTATAGAACTAGTTATCAAAATCAAGAAATATGTGGGCTTGGATCAGACCTGAAGGAGCAGGGCATAATTAAGTGGAAAGGAAGAAGATGAACAATCCAAGAAGGATAGCACCCTCTGTTTACAGAAAATACAGAAAAATACAACAAATATGCCCTTAGGAAGGAGTAAGAGAAAAGAAAAACAAGTAAATAAAAAACAGAAACTACCACTCCTGGCATTTTCAATGATACCAATTGAAATCAGTCTGGAATATTTTATATCTGCAGCACTGCATAATCTAAAAAAAATCTGAATCATGACAAATTAAATTACATTCTGGGTTGGAGAGTGGAAGGAGAAAAAGCAGTGTGAAAATGGTGAAACCAGTTACTTTTAAGACAAACTGATGAGCACCTCTGTAGCTTACATGTTTTGCCCCTCAGAGTTATTTCCTGTAAGATCATCAGTCTTGTGATCACTGGTCCTATTCATTGTTTCAAGGTAACACCCTACCTCCTCTTCCCAAATGTGTTAAAAAAAAAAAAAAAAGTTTGCAGGGCACCGGGGTGGCTCAGTCAGTTGAGGGGTGACTCTAATGAAAACCTTGTTTTAAACATCAAGTGCACCACCTGTGTGTGTTTTCTCAATGATGGGTATATGGGACTGATTTTTTTTCCTTATGAAATATTCATTAAAAGTGAACATTTATCAGCCATAGTAGTGGACTCTCTCATGCTTAGAAGACACCACTACTCTCTCTCTGTCTCTCTGTTGCTCTCTCTCTCTCTCCCTTTTTGGTAACGAACAATACATTTTCTGCTTTGTATTTCCATGTATGCTTTATTGACTCATGACAGATCACAAGAAGTGGAAGAATACTTTCTGAAAAAGAATACAAGCTAAATATCATGAAGAGGGATCACCAAAAATATATCCGGGAGTGCCTAGCTCAGGCTATTTTCCATAAGGTTCTTGATATGGAGGTAAATTATTTACATTTTCTTTATAACAGATATTTTCTAATATGACAATTAATACTCCCATACCCAAGCAGAGGAATTCCTCCTGTATTTCATGAAAAATGAATGGAACAAGGTACCCTGAGAAATACTCTACATCTCTCTAGGTAACAAGGAGCCAAGAGACTGAAGTAAGCTTTTCTCCATTTCAGTTAGGGAAAAATATGGACATCATTATATATTTTGTGGTATTTAATTTAACAAATGTAGATTTTTAATCCATAATGGCTACTCTAAAACATACCAGCCCTCACCATCTGTACCTCAATTTCCATTTGCTAAAAAAAAAGTGACATCTGTTTAAATATCAGTAATTCCACTGCCATGAATTATTTCAGATTTGTTATTCTTTTAAGGTTCTGAAGCTGAGCCGTATGCTAAATTTCAGGGAAGAGGCATTGAAACATCTGCTGTCCCTCCTACTTTAGGCCACATTGGTCAGCATAGATTCATAAACTAAAGCATCAACAACTTTTTTTTCAAGTCTGACATGGCATTTTTAGTAGGATATCTAGCTAACTTGATAAATTATTTTATCCTTGCTCCATGGAACTTATAGTTTCAAGCATCAACACCATTTTAATCTCCTTGAAAAAGCATGTCACTTCTTGGCTTGGCCATACAGCAGTAAATCAGAAAACTTGGCTGGTAAAATCATTGACCCGTGAATGCAGTAAACATTTATGAACAACTGTAGAATCACGAGTAAACCAGTACTAAGTGGAGCACCGCTGAAAATATTTATTATTATGCTACCATTATATTGAGCAAGTGTTGCGTTCAAATAAGATATGATCTGTTAATTTAGGAATTCATTTTATGATTTATATCATGTGCATGAATTATATGGAATCATTGTTTATGGTCCCCAAATTCGCTTGCTTATAAAAGTATTAGTTAGAATTCTGCAACTAGTGTTAAAAGAATAGTACAGTAAATTAATCTATACCTAGTTTCAAATTTAACCAATAGGCACGAAGTTAGGTATTAGCTTTGATCTTTGAAGTTTAGTTTTCCAAACTTTCATGTAATTGACACAGCATAACTGTTAAATGTTATTATTTAAGAGTGTTCGTACATTCTTAAAGTTTGCAATAGATACCTTAGATAAGTGTTCATATGTAGTATATAATATAATTTCATAAAATGTAATATATATAATTATGATATGTAATATATTAATATAATTAACAAATGGAATAGCTGTCTCTAAATTGTCACATTTGTCTCACATTTAGTTTATGTCGATGCTGTTTACTAATGTTGTTATATTAATATTCATGTATTTGTGCATACAAGAAACATCGATCATTAATTGTAGGCTTACCGTGTACCAGTACGAAGCAATGTGATGTAGCTTTGAGATATAAAAACAAAAACCCATAGCCAAAAAAAGCAAAAAACAAAACAAAAACTACTGTAGAAAGTGATCACAAGCTAGACAGAGGAAGAACAGACTGGGCTTACAGAAGAAGGGGACGATGACGCCTCTGTGAGAGTCAGAGGAGGCTGAACCGAGGTCTTGCTATTTGAACTGGACCTCGAAGGCTAAAGGAGGCGTCACAGGCAAGCGTGAGAAAGGCATCGGAGAGAGTGAGGATCGCAGGCGCGAGGCTGGAGACGAAAGGACATCGTGGATGGGCAGGAAAGCTCACTGAGGCCAGACCACACAGTGGGTTGGTTGAAAGAGCAGCAGGAAGTGACACTCTTCAGTAAGCTGGGGCCGGGGTTGTGGAGGGCCTTCAATCCCCAGCGAGGTTTGGAGTGTAGGTGATGAGGCAATGAGATGTTTTTTTTTCAGCAGGGGCGTGAAATAAATGAGCAGAGCCGTGTTAGAAAGATGATGTTGCTAAAAATGTGGGTGATGGATTAATGAGCTGGAAAAGATTGGAGGTGGGAGGTCAATTAGGAAGCTGTTGCCGAAGGGTGAGGGCTAACAGCAGTCGTGGAGACGCTGGGGAGAGGCCGCTCTCCCAGATGAGAGGAGATGTGAACGGGAGAGAGATTGACACTGAATGAGGAGGGAGGGGGAGAAGAAGCCAGAGCACCTCTGGGGGCGCCAGCGCGGCAGGTGGCGCGCGCACTTGCTGGAGCTCAGGGGCTGCGGGGGAGGGCTAGGAGCTCCGGGACTGCTGCGGGGCGAGGAAGGGCCCTCGCGCGGTGGAAAACCAGGCCCCACCGAGAGGTGTCCCGGAAGCCGGCAGGCTCTCACAAGCCGCCGAACGGTGAAACCGAGAAGTGCCGGGGAAAAGAAGGAATTCGGTTTGACCCAGGGACAAAGACGTTGGTGGCCTTAGTGAAGACGAGGGGCCGTGCGAGAGAGGGTTGCAGATTTGGAAATAAATGGAAAATGGCTGGTAGTGAGCGTAATGAGGTTTGGTGATCGGTGGGTGAGAGAAGAAGGAAGAGGGAGAGAAGAAAGGGAAGTGTCTGAAGAGGGCTGACGGCACGCGCTAGGAAAAATCGAGTCCGCAGGATCCCACGGGCTGCACGAGGGGATCAAGAACACAGAAAAAAACACTTTTCAAATGCCCTCAAATGTGTCTGAATGATTTCAGATAGAATCGTAAGCAGCTTACTTTTACATGAATAAGCCTCATGTAAATTTAAGTTATATAATTAAAATATTACAGAAAATTAGGAAAACCCAAGAAAATATAAAAAGGAAAATAACCGCATAGAATCCTTCCTCTCAGAGAGGACTGCTGTTGACATACTCACATTTCCTTTTAGTCTCTATTCATATTTATGCATTAATAAAAACATGCTATGTTGTGAAAGGGACAGGGTCTTGTGAAAAATAAGTGAACAGATAAAGAGCAAACAAACAGGAAGTTAGTGTCCAGTAGACTGAGCTTCAGATGACAGTTCCACCACTGACTGGATGTGTGACCTGGGGCAAATTCGTGGTCCTCTGCCTCAGTTTCTGCACTGGTAGAATGAGACTGCTTAGCAATTAGTATTGTTCAAGAAGAGATGATGGACATGATGCCCCTTCCTGGCATAGGGGCAGCCACACGGTATGAGCTTGATCAATTAAATTGTATTTCTGTGCAATTCTGTATTTTACATTTTTCCTGCATGACATGCATTTTTAATTTTTTAAACAAAATCTTTACGAATCTTATTTTAATGATTATATTCTATTCCATTATATGGATGTGCCCCAAAGTTAACCATTCTTTATAAGGTTTATATTGCTTCTGAATTTTTGCTTTGAAGAAAAAATTCCTTTCAGATAGCATCCTTGTGTATAACACAGATGTTTTCTTTTAATTCCGATTTCCTCCTAGGTTAGGAAGTGAAATTTATCAGTTAAAGGGTAGGGACACTTTTCACTGCTTTATGTTAAGAATCAGCTTTCCAAAGAGTTGTACCAATTCATAGTCCCACTTGCACACTTATGCAGGTGATTCTTCTCCATCTCAGTGACAAGGGGGGCGTAAGTGGGAATACAGTTAGCTGGTGGGATTATTTTCCTCTAAAAAAATCTTTGCTATAATTGACATGATCCTCTCCTCCCATCTTTCCCATATGCTTAGCGGTATCATCAACTTGAAATAAAAAAAAAACTGGAGATGTTAGCTAGGAAGGAGCGAATTCAGAGATTTAAGGTAAGGAGCTACATAATTCTATTTACTTCATAATATTATTTTATGATTTTAAAAGTCAATGGCGCCATTACTGAAGCTTTTTGAGGCACTTTACTTTTGAGTAACTCATAGCTGAAGTCAGGTGATGGTTTCACCAAGACTGTATCTTGGCCACCATTATTTCAGAAGATCATGGCCAAATAGGAGATTCTCTCACAATTTTATAAGGTACAAAGCTTTCAAAGGAAACGTGGAAAACACTCTTTTCAAGTTTGAAATTTTGCTTTTGTCTTTTCTTGATTGATATGTGACAGAGGCCCAAGGATTTTTCTTTTGTGTCTTAAAAAGCTGAAAATAGGTGGTGATGTTGCCCATGTGATGGAAAATGGCATTCTAAGAATTATCCAATGGCACATTTTCATGCAAATGTGACCCTTGAAAATAGATGGTAGGAAAGATCTACCTTGGCAAACAAAAGCATAAGATTTAGACATTCTGTACAAGGCATTTAAAAATTCCTTATTTGTTTTTATTTTTATTTTTATATTTGATATCCTTTCTTTGAAGTGAACTTAGGAAACATATAAATTTGAATCAGGAGATGAGAGACTCAATTAAGTATGTCTGAAAGGTTTCAGTTTAGGTTGGCAGTTTTATTCAGTTTCTTGAGCCATTCAAATGCGCAGGTGATTCTTCATTTTCTGTGTCATGGGGCCCAAGACACATTTCACAAACTGAGGAATATTCCTAAAGCTTCTGGAGAATAAGTTGCCACATAAGGCGGTAATTTTTTCCTCTTGCCTGATAGACTCAAATCTGTCTATTTCATCATGGTCAAAAGATAATCTTGTTACAAAAGTGTTGTTAAATAACAGCAGATCAGTTTTTCAAGATCAGAAATGTTGGTGTGTAGAGATTTGTGGTTAATTCAACTTTGACAATATTGTCTTACATCAAGGACTGAGTTATAGATTCTATAAGTTAGTGCTGAAGTGTTGATGGAGAAAAATGGTCCCTGGAAATAGCAATGAACATTGCCTAAAGCCGTGTGGGATTTGTTTTCACCCAGATTGCCAGATAGGCTGACTAAGCACATGAACATGTTACAACATTGGCAGAAATTCCTGATAGACATTCCAGTTCCTCCCTATATGATTTTCATTCGTAACAATTTTCACTTTATAACTGCATTTGGTTAAAAGACCTATGATTTAGGTGCCTTTTATATAATATGCAACCCTTTTGCTTGGGGCATGATTTCATTATTTTTTTAAGGTAGAAAAGTAATAGTTTCCGGTAGTCTTTACTGATCAGAACTGTGTGGAATATTGTGCTTCTTATAGTGATCTGCTTAAGCAGATTCATAAATCTTATTGCTAAAACTCAGGATACGCTGTTTCCGTAGCTATTTCTTTGAGTACAGCTATTTCTTCCAACATAGCAGCCTGAAGTTCCTGCCTCTCATTACCACACCCAGTGCCCCACTACAGCTGTGGAAACTTTCTGACTGTCATGATAGACCTCAGAAGGAACACTTTTGAAAGTAATGAGAAAGGACTTCTTTAGTAATATAGTATCTCTTAACCTGTCAGGCAATAACCTAACCTCGATTGCTAATTATGCATCAATTTGTTCAATCACTTTCTTATTCTAGGGAGAACCCACAAGATGGTCTGTAGAAAATAACATGCCAATCCTGTCTCCCCATCCCCCAGTTGGCCCAAAGACTAACCGTGGCCATAGTGTCCTGGTTGATGAAGGACATTCCAGTCCAGTAACACTGGTGAGTTGTATTGAACACTCTGTCATGTACCATTCTGACTAAATATTGTGTAATTTCTGATTACTCTCAGAAGGAATTCTCTCTGAGTGCTTCTCTGTATAATCCTGTGACTCCTACTGAACACCGGTGTGGTCTTATATCTGTTCAACTCTCTTTACTGAACGTCCCACTTCCAGTCAGTATCGTCCCTGTCAAATCCATTTTGCTTGTTACTGCTAGAGTAGCTTCTTTAAAGTACAGACTACTTGTTACTTACATACCCAAATGCCTTCACTGGCTCTGTGACATTTTTAGAAAAACCTAGTCTCTTTCACCTAACATTTAAGACCCTAAGCCATCTGACCGCAATTTAGCCAACCCAATATTTCCCCTCATGATTACCCTTTAGCACTCTACAGTGCAGCAAGGTTGAACCGCTAATCATCCCACATGTGTCCCGTGTTTTCTGACCTCTAGATTTTGTCCTTGCTGCTCCCTCCGCTCTGACCTTCTCTGTCAAACTTATTTATGTACACAAATTCAGTCATACTGTATCACATGTTGGGCCAGATACTTATACTTGTGTTTCTTTTATCAAAAGCACGGGCACATACTCTAACATAAACATAGTTAAATGTGCAGAGATTCTATTTAAAGAAATTGCACAAACCGACATTTCATTCCAGTTCGATTCATTTATAATATAGAGATGGGATTAATTTGAAGGAAGATGAGGTAGCTTGAAACAATATAGGTACAGGAAAAGATTTGCAGAATATTTGCCGGAGGTTGATGGTTTAAGTTGTAAATGAATTGCTTGATCACATCTTTATACTTGCTTTGTGTGGGCCTAATATATTTCCTTGTTAGCATGAACATTTTTTTGGATTGCACAATATTTATAGAGAAATTTGCAAAGCTTTCACAGATTGTTGAAGTAGGTTCATCTCGTACAGTGTTAAGCTTTGACATTTTTCAAAGGTAAATATGTTTTGACATTTCCCGATGAACAACAGCTCAAGTTATGAAAAGCAACCGTTTTCCCTTTGTTGTTACCATATTTCCCAGCTTCATTTAAATGTATATGTACACAAATAATTCTTTTTTTGGATGGCAAATTCACTAGGCTCTCAAAAGCTTAACCTGGTTGAAACAAAAGAAACAATCAAGTGCTGTTTTCTATCTTCCCACCTGTTTCAAAGAGGAGAAACCCTTGAAAGGCTTTCTTTTCAATTTTCCAGCTGAACACCCTCAATAAGTAGTTTATGATACATCCAGGAGATCTTAATGTGGCAGGAGTGAGAAAGTAATTTAAAAATTACAGGAAGCACTGACACCAGCACCTCAGAAACCGTTCTATCTGGTAAGCCGCCATTCTCCACTTGGTCACCCCCTATGGTGCTTCTGGACCGTAAGGGATACTTATTGTGATCTTCGAAGTGTAGTTCCCATTTTACAGAAATTCAAATCTTCCTTTTCGTTCTCCCGACCTGGATACATATCCTTTAAATTTGACTCCTGACCTCCAAGTGCCATGGAGATGGGAGATAATAATCCTCTTGGGATATTGCCATCGATTTTTCTTTTAACTTTCTTGAATAAAGAAAGAAGGTGTCCAGTGAATAGTTTTGGCACTTGGTCACTAATTGAACCTAAACCTTCAGAGTAACGTACAGGCTTTTAGCTGCACCATTCCCATTTAAAACTGTGGAAAGCCATTCAACTCATTCTGCACAAGCTTGGAAAATTCACCCCCAGAGATCGTCTAGTAAGAATTAGAAATGCTCAGCTAAGCTGGGTAATCACCAGGTAGTCAATTTCGATTCACATTCCGGTACAGTTTTGAAAATGTTAAGCTACAGTGCCATATTTATTCCAAGAAAATATATTACAAACAGTTTAAAATATAGCAAATTTAAGGTGGCTTCTGATGTGAACTACAACAGTTTGTAGCTCACAGCTGTTAGCTGAATGATGCAAATTTGTTTTTAGATATAAATGTAATCAGTTAAACATTTGACTGCCATATTCATCTAACTGAATGATATCTGTATGCAAATGTGGAAAATAAAATTTAGAGCACAGAAGCCAATAGATCATGTTCTAGTTTATAGTAACCTGCTTTCTTGAATTCCTACATTAGATTTTCAATGTGTTTGTGTTCAGGGGAATTACTTGACAGGAGAGAGTCTTAGGCATATTTGTTTTACACAGTTCAAAAGAATTCTTTTGGGTGATCTGATTCCCTTGTTCAGAAAGCTCTAGTTTGATTTATCTTCGTGGGTTTAAAGACATTTTGCCTTTTGGCTCATGTAGTCTCGTGTCCTGTTTCTTTAAATCAGATATTGCCTTAGTCAATCCACTTGGCTTTCTGTATTGGTCATGAAGTAGATAGGTTTGCGTGCAGAGACCCAAAATGACAATGACTTAAACATAAGGATGCCCTCCCCACCCCAACACACTTATGTGAATCTCAGCTGGTGTGCTCATCTCTACTTTATGAAGTCTTCAAAAGCTCAGACTCCTAATTTGTCATTAATCTGCCAAACTTAGTGTGTTGTCTTCATTTACATAAGGGAAAGGGAAAGTGACAGTACACTTCTCCTAAAGGCATGATCTGGAAGTTTCATATATCACTTCTGCTCACATCTTATTGACCGAAAGAAACTGAGGCATATATCTGTACAGAATTGCAAGAGATGCTGGGAAATACAGTCTTTATTTATGATAGCCATGTTCCCTGATAAAAATTCTATTACTAGTGAAGAAAGAAAAACAGATATTGGGGAATATTATTTTTGCTACCCTCCCCATGTCTGTCTAACAACGGGCTTTCTACCTACCTGGATGTTCAAATTTATCATTCTTCTCTGCTCATCCATTTTCTTCTCTTGCTTATACATTTGGATAAAATGCTCCTGTGAAAACTTGAATTTTTCCTGGTCTCATTGGTTTTTTCCAAATAACATGTAGTTCTAAGTTCTGTTAGGTCTTAGATATTCTGTTATTTTTGTTATTGTCTGTTTGGCAGTATCTGCGTAGTTTATTTGGCATTAACTGTCGTGTGTTGCCATTAGATGTTAAAAATTACTTTTCAATTTTCTCATACTGCCTATAGTTGGAATCCAATGAATGCTGACTTAACAAAATCAGACATTTGGCGACATATGACATGCTTGTCAAGATGGACCTCAGACCAGTTTTTGGTGGTAGGAGCTGCCCTATCATCGTTTTTTTATGGATTTACACAACACTTTTCCAGAGTTGAATATTTTGTTCACTGTGCTTGAGTCAGTGCATTAAGCCTTATTCATGAGTCATTTACATGCCAGACTTCTAACCCTCTCACCCAAATGTATATGTATTATTCTTAACAGGTTTCCAACTTTTTCTTGTAATAGAACAACAGGGCCAAAAGCCTTGCTTTTTTTGTTTTCTTTTTAAATCATTGCTGATCTTTATACTAAACTTACAGTGTTCTGTCAGTGCCACAAACAGCATTTCTAATGCTCGTACTGGTACTTTTGGTATTCTCTGCAGTACATTCTTGATTAGAAAATGCATCAGTCAGGGTCTCAGCAGGAAACAGATGGCTCACACAAATAGGGTAATTAGGAAGAGTTTAATAAAGAAACTATTTACAAAGATGCCGGCAGGGTTAAGGAAAACCAACTGGGGATTAAGCATGCTGGGGTCAGCACCCTGGGAAGCACAGCACCTAGGCCAGAGAGGGAGAGGGAAGGACTGGGTACCAGCACCAGCAGGCAGTCCTTACAAGCCAGGAGAGGACTGCCTGACAGGAGCTGTGGACTCGGAGAGAGGGACCCACCTGGCCCATCACAACCTTGGTGGGAAGGGTTCAGGAGAATTAAGACCCTTGCCTCTTGTCTTCTGATCTCCTGCCAATGCCTTTCGTTGGCCGAGTCCAACTGGAATCCAGAGAGAGTAGGTGTAGTCCATAAAGCAATGACTCCCGGATGGTGGAGCAGGGCAGAGAAGTCAGAGAGGAGGAGCAAATGGAAAATATCCAGCCTGCAAAACATCTTCATTTTCACACAGGGTTTTCTAATTGCCAGTTACTGTTTTTCATGTTTACTTTCCTGGTATTTCAAGGGAGACGTTGAATGAATGGTAATATATTATAGTTACGCATTGCCTTCCCTCTTTTTGAATTGGATCATCTGCTTTTACTTCAGCACCATTCTGGAGATGTAAAGGACGTACAGTAGTTTATGTTGAAAACATTTAAACGGAAATGAGTCCATTCCAATCATATTCCTTTAGATCTCTAAAATAGGAACATTATTCAAGGTAACATTTGATTGTGCAAAGCCATTTTATGCACTGAATAAATTAGGCATTGTAAGCAAGTTTACAAAATGAATAAAATACAGGACCCTAACAGAGAACATCTCCTTTGTCTAGAATACTCTATAATTGTGGCATTTAGTTATGTAGAGGACTTCCACACCATATGTTTTAACAAATACTTTGGGTCATAAGGCTATGTATAATGGAAGGACATAATTAAAGTTTAATCTGTTCAGTAAAAAGGCACCATTAATTACTCTAAGCAATTTGTTGGGTTATTAATTGGTTCTGGAAACGTGTCAAGATACTAATTTAAATGGAATTTTTTTCCTTAATTGTCTAGACAGCCCCTCGACCATACACTGCCCCAGGATATATGCAGCCTCCAATTCGATTAAAGCCTCTTCCCAGTAATCCTGCGGTAGGAACTGTTCCAAAGATAACTTCGGGGTCCAGATCGAAAACCTCATTGCTGGAAAATGAAGCTCCATTTCCCATTGGGGTAAATGTTACTTCTTCAAGAAATCTCTTTTTATTCTTCATTAGAATGTTATATTATCACAGGTTTTAAGATGGAAAATTCGATTAATCTACTCAGTGAAATTTATATTGTGCACTTATTAAGCATTTACTATGTACTTCTGTTTAATTATATCTTTAACTGGAAGGCCTATAATTTCTGTGCTATTAAGCAAAATGAGTAAGGAATAGATTTGTAATAATATAAGGTTATCTTTCATTAATCTGAACGATTGTATGAAAAACAAAGAGAAACTTCTTGTAGCCAGATATGACTTCTATCAGAGTAGACCCAGTGTTGACTGATTCTAAATTTTAAATGCATGAAACCTAGAAAGTGAAACTTTCCAAGAATAGGCTTGCATTTGCATGCCGACTTACTTTAGTAGGGTTAGAATAATAGTGTATGAAATTGCTTCAAGTTTGACTCTGGACAAGGTTGGATATAGAAGAAAAAGAATGTCCCTCTTTAAAAAATGGTGAATTAATCCATATAGGAGCTTGACTTTGCTTCCTTTTCAAGGTTATGTCTCTGGTAATTTTATTTTAACAGAGCACTGGAGGGAAACATGGTAAACATAAAATTACAAGTTACTCAAACAGGGACGAATAATTAAGACATTCAGTAATTAGGGAGGGTATTGTTTGTATTTCTAACATGAAGAAGAAACATTTGCCAGCTTAAGAAAGAACCTGTGTCATGAGAACAATTGTCACTGTGTTCAAATGGGTGAATTTAGTTCAATTTCTTATTAGAAAAATAAGACATGAAATTAAGATATTTTTTCTTTTTTTTTTTGAAATTAAGATATTTCTATCTAGAACTGACAGATAAGCTTGATACTAAGAAATTAATCCAGATAAACAAATGATTGTGTTTCATAATAAAAGTATAATATAACTCTAAAAATAGTAACTAATATTGTATCCATTTAATATGCTTTTCAGCTTATGAAGCACTTTTCACAAACCTTATTTTTAGTTAATTTAATAGTACTTTCCTAGAAACAGGAAAAATTAAACCAAGAGTGGTAGAGTTTGTCTAGGGAATAGTACTTAAGTCTAGGCAGAAGCTTGTGGGCTGACAATGAGGCTGACGCTTTAGGATCTGGTGTCCACATTGAAAGCCTAGGGATTTCCTGTTTCACCTAGTGTCCAGGAACAGACAGGTCCTGAGAGATTGTCTCAAGTTAATGAGAATAACACAGAACAAGCTCATTTGTCTTCTTATGGTAAACCAAAATCAGCAGCCAAATCATAATCAGGGACCATTAATTCACCAGATATCAAATAATCAAGGCTGTAGAAGCAGTCCATTATCCCCCTATAGACAGACCTCCATGAGAAGCCAGAACACAATGAGAAGGTTGCCTAGTGAGCATGGAATCAGAATGAGGGTATATAGGGGAATGGAATCAGGTTAAAATGGCTTGATGTACCTATCTCATCTTAGGAATGGGCTTGCCAATTTGCCAGAAAACTCAAAGGTCTTTGGCTAAATCCCTGTATCTTCCAGGGGTAACTTTGCCATTAGGATTGGAAATATTTAAAGTCCAATGGGTGGGATTTTCTCTCCCCTAGATAGTGCTTGGATGGGTATGTTCCACATTTGCCAAGGTGATTTTATTATTTTATCTAAGCTCCTATACTTTGATAGATACTTTTTCCTTTTAGATATGTAAATACTACTAATCAAGTAATATTCAAGTTTTGCTGGCTAGGGAGGGATTTTTTTTTTTCCCCTTTAGCTGATTTTCCCATTCTGCTCTGAGCCATTGGATGGATTTATTAGTTAAATCTGCATAGGGCCTTTTATTTTCCTGTTCTCAAGTTTTGGGGTATGAGTGATTGAGGGATAGGCACTTAATGGTAGCTTACTTAGGCTGACAAGATTTAGATCGATTCCATGTTGATTTAAACTAGCTAAACTTATACTTTTCATTCAGTAAATATTTATTGGGCACTTACTATGGACTAGGTCTTGCTTTAGGCATTAGTGATACATCAATTATCAAGGCAGACAAAAGTCTCTAACTTATTGGAGCTTATACTGTAATGTACATAGGCAAACTGCCAGAAGACATGTAATTTTTCCATGGCATTGATGACGAAGATGATTTAATATAAAATCAGACAAAAAATTTCTAAAGAATAGTAGCAGCCTTCGTGATTGCTGAGCATGTAGTGAGTACCCACTAAATTCCTACTGCTTTCTTAAAAAGTAAAAGTTATGCATGTGGGAATTGTTGGAAGGGACAACAGACATAAGCAAGTTTCTAAGTATCAGGAGTGAAAGTCTTCAGTTTAGGCAAAAGCAATTTGGTCAGAAACAGGGTGGTTAAGAAGCAACTGAGTAAAAATCGTGACTTAACTAAAAATGATTATCCTTACAATGAGAGTTTCTCATATACTATTGATAAGTATAGAAATTACCATATCTGTTTGTGAAGGCAATGTGGGAATATCTATCAATATTTTAAATGAACATGCTCAAGCATTTTTATATATAGGAATTTATTTTAGGAATATACACATATGTGAAAAGAAATAGATTCATGAGTACTCAGTATTATAATATTCGTAATAGTGAACAATTTAAGACACCTAATAATTTAATAGGATGTTGTTTAAAAACATAGTTTATTAAAGTATGTTTAAAAAAAAAAAGGTAAACTTATTTTTACCAGCATGGAAAGATGTCTAAGACACTGTGGGCTAAAAAAAGCAAGGTAAGGAATGCCATGTTAATTTTTCTAAAAATTTATTAAACCATTTCCAAGTAAAGCATACAATTGACCAATAACTACTTAGAAATAATAATTTTAAAAATCTCCAAGTCCCAAATTTCTGGATTCATTGATTTTATTGTTCTTATTATTTTCACTTAATTTAGATTTGTTATTACAGTATCAATGCACACCATCACAGAAAAATTGGAAAATGTGAGAAAAGAAAAATGAGAACATAAATCGCACCTGAAATATCACCTATTTTAACAATTCTAAATTCATTGGTGCATATCTACTTAAATCCCTTTCTGTTCACATAAATGTTTGCAATCAAAATATGGCCTATACGTGCCTTTATTTACCCTGCTTTTACTTACTTAGCAGTGAGAAATGTTTGGAGAAAGACTCTCCTTTCTTAACAATAACTTTTCAATATATTTAAGCATCTCAAAGAATAAATTGGCTGAAAAAACCATACGAAATAAATTGATAAAAGTGGGTAAATGGATAAAGTGATTAAAGATGCCTTAAAGTTTGGAAAACTACCTCAGATGCACAAAATGACCAATTTATGAAAATTCGGAGACTCAAATATATTTGAAAAATGTGATATGATTATTGATTACACCTTTGGTGCTTTTTTATTTTTGATTAATACAGAGATAGATTTTTTCAAATAATACAAAGATATGTGATGGAAAATGATATCTCCCAATAATCCAAATCCCCAAAGGCAACCCTAGTTTAAAGTCTTCCAGTCATCCCTGATTTTATCAAAATCCACATACAAATTCATTTAAAAGAAATTGTGATCACATCTCATGGACCTTTTTATGTCAGGATGAATAGATTCATACTATTCTCTTTGAAGCCTGATGAGAATCTATTACAAAGACAAAAAAAAATTTAGTTAAATATTCTCCTATTGATGGACTTGATGGTTCAACTGAATTTGTTTGTGTGTGTGTGTGTGTGTGTATCCTTTTACACATTTACATCAACATATTGTGCAGTTATCTTAGTAGGATTTATTCCTACAAGTTGAATTTGTAGGAAAAAATAAGCTGAATAGAGTCTTTGGGTCAGAATCTGCATTTGGTTCTGTGATATTATATTATCAAGGAATATTATAACCCCTGCATGGATGAAATCAATGTGAAAAAAGTACTAATACGCCATTGTTAAGTGGGCTATCCAACCCTAGCTCAAAGTACAATACTTCCAACTCCTTGATTTTAAATTGTTTAATTGTACTGGGTCCCCATAGATTTAATGGATTATTGAGGAAAAATCCCAAAGTACTTTAAAAATGCCATCACTGTGTATTTGTCATAAAAGTATACTCCAATAAGGTTAGAAAGTCACGAAAATTTAACTTGCTCTGGATACTACAAAATGCCATTTTTCAATTAAAAAAATGAAATGTTTGAGTTCACCTATTAATGTCAGTTGTATTTATGTGCAATGTAAATCATGCGGTCTTGTCTTTAATTTTGGGTTACATTGGTCACTACTACTGTTTTACTGGCTGTTATGTCGTGAAATGTGATTACAGGGCAAGAAGGCAGTGATGAAGTTCAAGAACTCCCTGGACAATTCACAAGGAGTGAATCGCTATCAACTTCCAAACATTAACAATTACACAATGCCTATTCCTCCTGCACCTCCTCCCCCCAGTGGAAGAATCATAAGGGAAAATAGACTTGAGTCATGGAGAAGGAGAAGATTTCGTCCAACCACTGCTCCAGATGGCTTAGATCCTCTCTTTACCAGGGTGAATATGGAATCAAGTTTTCTTTTATTAATTTAGCATAGATTACATTGTGCTATTAAATTTCTAGATGTGCGATACAAATGAATGTAGTGAAAGCAAATGCAAAATGCCTTGTAAAAATAAATATAATAATTTCATAAATGTAATTGTAAGCTTCGATGAATCTGAAATCAAATACTTGAGTAGCTCCATTCCGTAACTAATTTAGCACAATTAATTAAAAAAGTCCACTAAATCTTGTGGTCAAATTTAGTTTGTACTGTGCCCATTTCTAAATTATTTATTTCCTTCAGTTTGCCCATTAAATCACATGTCAGAAGTATTTTAACATTTAATTTGTGAAAATTCAGGAACTTAAGTATACCCCCAAACATAATATGCCATATAAAATATCTTATCAAAGCTTCCTTTTAATGATTTTTGGAAAATTACTGTATAATATTTAGAAAATATTTTCTTTCAGTGTTCTTTGAAAATATTGTAGCTGGTTGTACTCATTTTCTCAAAATGCCGACGAAAATAGTCCTGCGGCCAGTTAGACTTTATGTAGATACAGGCTGGTATGAAGGCAGATCTCCTAGCTTTTATTGTGTAAATATACAATTAATAGTAATTAGGTATAACTTCTGTGATTATTAGCAGATTGGAGGACTGCATTTCACTGGTTGAGAGTGAGTGCCGGCCGGCAGGCGGACTGCATGCTGGCCCTTGTAAACCCACCTCACTCCGACCCAGCAGCTATCCTCATCAAGGGCCTCAAAACACTGGACCTGTCTTGCGTGCGCTTGCTCACACTGTCTCCTTTCAATTCCATTTTCCCCAGTTTTCTTCCACTGTTACGGTTTTGGAAAAAACATTGTATCCCTGGTGTCTGAGGCCCACTTCCACCCTGTGTCCTCGATTGTATCTTTTTCCACTGCCCGTCATTCTCTCTGATTTGGATTTTCCTCCTCCCGGTAAAATTCATCGCTGTCTGTCAGCATCCCCAGGCTTTGCACAGGGTGACGGGATCCTCTCTTCACAGGCTGTAGCCTTGGAGTCGTCTACTCTTCTCTTACTGCGAAGTTCTCTGAGGTGTAGTGGACTGTAGCTTCGTCTAACAAACCACCCCGGGCAACTCAGCTTACAATGACAAAGGTTTCTTTGCTTTTAACAGTTTTCATTTAGAATTGTATATAAGATTACTTTATTCCTGCATCTCCTCAATCGTTTCGTCCTTTTATTTGTCCTCTTTCCTTTCCTGCTTGGCAAGATTTGGCTTTCCGTTCAAGGATCTTTTTGAGGTCTTTGTCCAGTTTCAGTCCAGTGATGACCACCTTTTGAGGCTGAATGCCCACGTGGACGGTCGTGCTGTCCGCCTTCTCTTGCTGCAGTCCTTCAACATAGATGGTCTGTTCTCCCTGTCAACCTGGACAGCTGTGCCAGTTTGGTCCTCACACAACCTGTACTTCATCCCCTTTTCAGGTAGGCATGAATCCAATGCTGTACTTCTACCTCAGCTCTCTGGAAAGAGGGGAAGACGTGATCTTCCTACGATGTGGGAAGGTGCACTGAAATACCGTTTACGGTTCTTGCTCTGGTCAGAAGTCACAAGGGGATTGAGCTTCATTTTGGCCACTGGCGCTTCAGTGATGGCCGCACAAGGGAAGAGCAAGGCTTATTGCTTGGTCCTGTTATCATCTGGTGTTGGTCTGCTGCAATTCAGGGACCCAGACTGGAGGAACAGACTGTGTCTGGGGCATGCTGGCCTCATGGACAACAGAACCGCGGAATGTTTCTAAGATTCCACTTGGTGTGAAACATGTCACGTATACTTGAATTCCATTGCCAAAGCATGACAGCAATGCAGTAGGAAGTATCAGCCTCTCACAGAGTGGGGCAGTGAATATTTGGAGCAATAATAAAATCTACCCCATCTACTAACTTACTTCTGAACTCTGCATGCTGGTGTTGGTCTCCCTCCACTAAGCCAGCAAACACATGCTCTTGAAGGATGTGGCCTCTACGTAGTGGAAACAGTGAGTTCCTCATCATATTCACGTGCTGGCAGCATTAGATTTTCAGATGTTAAAGTGTATTACTGGGATAAACTGTACCCAGTCATACTTTTTTTTAAAAAAAGATTTAAATATCTCCTAAACCATAAGAACGTATTAAATCTATATGTGCGGGGTACCTGGGTGGCTCAGTCGGGTAAGCGTCTGCCTTTGGTTCAGGTCATGATCTCAGGGTCCTGGAATCGAGCCCCGCATCGAGCTCCCTGCTCATGGGGAGCCTGCTTCTCCTTCTCCCTCTGCCCCTCCCCCTGCTCGTGCTCTTTCTCTCTCAAATAAATAAATAAAATCTTAAAAAAATCTATATGTGCAAGTTAAGTAACAATAATCAAGCAAACAGCCATGTACACATCATTATTTCTTAACGAAGTAGAGCCCTGCTGCATAGCCTAAGCCCCCATTTCCTGGCCCAGCACATCTCTTACTTCTTCCCAGAGCAACCATCCTACTGACTTCTATGTTAACTGAATCCTGTTTTTCTTTGAAGCTGTATCATTTACATACACAAAACTTCAGACATAAGCTCAAATATAGCATTGTAATGAAAGAACAATATTTATAGGAATAATAAGCTGAAATGGAACCTCAGAGTCTGAGTCTGGTTCCTTGACAGTTTTAAGAGCCTTTTCTGGAGAAGTCGGAGAGGGAAAGTCATGAGTGTTTCCTAGGAAAATGGAGCTCACCAGGGTCAGGGCATCTATTCAGGTCCTAGTGTGGACCAGTGTGTGGCCACCGGATGCCCAGCAGGAATATGGTCAGGGGAATGGGCTTCTGTAGCTGGGCACAGAGGAGAGAAGTGACTTCTCCAGCCAGTGGTCATGACAAGTGAAGCACAGATAGGCACGGGAGCCAGCTTCCCCTGAGCATTCTGCACCGAGGTTAGCAACACGGGTTGGTGTCAGCCGACATCCTGGCTTCGACAGACCTTAGCATGTCTGTCTTTTTGAGTCACAAGGTTTTAGCCTGAGTTGGTCTTTTGTTTCCATTTCCAAACTTCTATTCTCTCTATTTGGGGAATGATAGAAGTACTACACTAATGCTCTAATATTCTTATCTTTTTCTCTCCTATTTTCTATTTCTTTGTCTTTTTGTTCTACTTGCTGGAGATTTCTTCAGTTTTATCTTCCACACATTCTGAGTTTTTTCTTCTGGTGCCCTTTTTAAATTCTAAGAACTTCCTTTGTGTTCACTAAAAGTTACTTTTCAAAAGCATCTTGCTCTGTAGGATTTTGACTCTTTGGTATTTGTGGAGACTTTTTTGTGGGCTAATATATGTTCAGTTTTTGTAAAGAAAATGAGTCTCTTACTGTTGGGAGTAGAGTTCTACAAATGCCCAATAGATAAGAAATGTTAATTATGTCATTCCTGTTTTTATATGCTTAGCATTCTTATTTATCTGCTTTCTCAGTTCCTGAGTTCTAGAGATAATTCATTCTCTGTAATCGTAGATCTGTCCGTTTCTCATTGTAATTATGTCAAATTCTACTTTGTAAATGTTGAGACTACCTGGTTGTATGCTCTCAGCTTTAGGACTACTCTATCTTACTGGTGAGGTGATTCTTTATGATTTGAAAAATGATCCTCTTAATCACATTACTTTTGGCCTTAAAATCTCCTTTGTCTCACAGTACTAATTTTCTTTATATTAGCAAAGAATATATATTCCTTTTACATTCAGCCTTTTAATATCTTTGAATTTAAGCTTTAACCTTTAAATGCATTTATGTAGCATGTAACTTACACATTAAATTCACTCATTTTATGACTGCCATCCTCAAAACATCCTTCAAATACTCTTACAAGGAAAAAAAAAAAAGAGAGGGAAAAGGCAAAGAGATATGGCTTGCTGGTGACCCACCACCTGTTCCTCTAGGAATGTGTAGAGCACAGTCCCTGCCCTCTGTGTTCTGTGTCTCTAGGAGAAGATCCATGGAGCCAAATGACAAGGTGTGGTAGATCGTACAGCCCAGCAAGTTGCTACTGTGCTCTCTTGCTTTGTTTCCTTTTGTTGTAAGACCAGCAGAGCTTTTATACTGCTTTTACAGAATCCACGAGACTAGTTAGACTTTGCTCTGCGGTTTACCTCCACATCTCCAGACTTTCATGTCCTCATACTGTATTGCTGGTCACCTACTATATACAGCAGCCTGTTACAATGGAAATGGTCCCGTAATAGTGTTTAAAAATGTGAAAATACAGGCTTTCAAAGAAGAGCCTACTTACTCATTATGGTTATTAATTTAAAAAAACAAAACAAAGTTGGTTTTTATTTTTTATGTGTTTTGTGTAATGGAGCTTCTCCAGGCATGAACTAGTCTGGGCTTTCTCTCCATCTGGTCAAGGCCCCCTCCCCCCCCCGCCTTAGACCTCCCATGAGCCCTGTGCAATTACTGGTGCCTGGTTGGTAGGTTCTACTGCCCCTCAAATTTGACATGGTTAAGCCAGCTTCTCCATTCAGTTGCCTTGTATCTCATAATGCATGACCTTTTCCCCAATAAAATCTCAAAATCTAGGCTCAAAACCTAGGTTTCCTTCTGTCTACATCACACATCAGTTAATTGCTAAGTCTTCCAGAGATGTCCAATAGAAATGTAATGCAAGCCACATATGCAACTTTAATTTTCTAAGAACTACACTAAAAAATGTAAAAAGAAACATGTGAAAGTAATTTTATTAACATACTTTGTTAATCCAGTATATTCAACATACTGTCATTTCAACATGTAATCAGTATGAGTTTTTAATGAGTATCATGCAATTTTTTTCATACTACGTCTTTGAAATTCAGTAAGCATTTTATATTTATGGCACATCTCATTCTGATGAGCCCCTTTCAAATGCCCCACAGCCAAATGGGGTAAGTGGTTGCTGTCTCAGACTGCAGAGCTCTAGCACCTGGACAAGGGCTCATGTGTCTGATAATCCTTTTCCATTCCCAGTGCTATA